AGCACGGCTCCTGCACAAGGACGACTTGAAACTTCATAAAGGCTTCCATGTTTAAAACAAAACAAACAAAAGCAAAAAAAAAAAAAAACTAATCTTATACTAAACCACCATAGCCACTGCCAACAACAGAAGACGCCTCGAAAGCCCATTACTTTATGACTAAAATTTTAACACGGCCGAGCAGGATGTTTTGGTTCACTAATGTTCATTTCTTCGTTAAAAATACATAAAGACTAGAAACTAAAGTGCACTTTAGAAATCCGTAGTGCAAAAATAGCCCTTTCAGAACTCGCAGACTACAAAAGGTTCGTCTCCATCCCTCGCCACCACCCGGCTGGCTGTAACGTTCAATTTCTGCTTAAAGAAATGGCGGAATGACAAATTGCCTCGCAACAGGTCTTCTACGAAAGACGGGAGAAGGCTGCTGACAGAGTGAGCTAAAAACGGCAGTGTTTGCAATCTGGAAAACATCTGCCCTGCCCAGAGCGCTCAACGACCACACTGCAGAAAATGGTCTGTGACAAAGCAGAGCCCAAGAGTGTGGGTGGGAGGTGATGGGACAAGTCAAGGCTATTCAGGTACAGAGCCCAGCAATGTGCTCTTTGGCAAATTGTTGCAAGCCAAGCCGCGGGCCAGCTGTAAGCACTCCAAAGGGAGCCACGTGGCTCACTAGTTTTCTCACGGTTGGCACCAGCAAAAACTGTCCTGCCGCTTAGGAGCCTCTCTTGTTTGGTAGAGGAGAGAACTTTATGTAAGGGGAAATAGATAACACACAGCAGGTTTTATGCAGTGAAAGGTCAAGTCAATCAAGCTGTGAACAAGAAAACAGTAACACAAGCAGCATTCTTCTTCTTCCCCATACACCGTTCCCCATGACAACAAGCTTTTACCAACCTGAGCCAATAGAGGGACCCAACTAGTGGAGAATGCAGAAAGAAGTCGGGAACACACAGCGAAAGGGAAAGGTTAGACCTTTCTGAGGGGGTTTCTCAGAGGTAGGAGACCCACAGTTCTACCCCAGAGATGAGGAAAAGAGCATCTTCGAGGACGACAGCGACTGGGTGAAGCCAGCTGTGTCCAGGTGCCGGCTGGGAACGATGCTGACGAAATCTTTCCTTTTCAGTTTCCACCTCATCCAAAGCTGGTGTCCTGAAAGGTGGTCAGGGACTAGAGGTGAGACACAAACAGTGAAGCTCTCTCTGCAGGCGGGATCTACAGAGGACAGCCAGCTTTGACAACTGGATGCATCCGGGGATGGAGAAGGGACTCAGTGGGGAGAGGACAAAGGTCCAGGTGGGGGCACTTTATCAACAGATGGGATCCCAAAGCACAGGAATCAGGATGATGAAAGAGCGAAGGAAAATGGTAAGAGAATGATTATTCCTCCAAAATAAGCCCGAGTTTGTTCTTGAAAGAGGTTTGGCATGGTGGAAGTGCAGGAAGAGTCCAGGGACCTGCTTCTGTCTTGGCAGCAGGAAAACATATACCTCTTTAGCTTCTCCATCATTAAAACGGAGATGATCCCTTATCTTCCAGAGAGAATGAAATTAATCAATGCAACGTATTTTATCGAGCATCAACTGAGTCTTAGACCAGATACTGGTGTAAGAATCTGGCAAGATATTTGACCGGTAGCAGTCATCATGATGGTGTATAGCACATATTATTAGCTTTCAAAGATGGCAGACATGGTGACGGGAACCAGCTAACAGGGCTCGATGCAGTTCTGACCTTCTAATTTGATTCCCTTACTAGGTTGGATGTCTTCGTAGGGTGTGGTCTATCTAGCTCATTCACAGACTGAAGCACAGAAGCTCAACACAGGCTGGTTTCAGTGAGTGACTGTCTTTCTAATGTCAGAAACGCCCAGGACATGAACGACAAACAGGGAGGAGGAGAGCTGAGGTCTTGCTCATATTATTTTTGTACTTAAAAAAGAAAAAAAAAGCTTCCTTTGAGAATCCGCTAGACACATGCACCTAACCCTGCCCAGGCAAACCCAGAATTCTAAATAGCTGTATTAGGCTTAACTTAGTTTTATATTCTCTTCTAGAGTGAAATTCACAGATAAAGCAATCATCAGCAAACTCGGGGTGTTGGTATTTTAGAGAGTATAACAAATGTCAGTCTTTCTCTGCTTAAAGCTTGCACTATTTCTTTGAGCCTTACTGAGTCGAAACTAAAACAAAAAATTGCTGGTTGGAAAATGAGAAATCCCATGATAATTTTGAAATTTCCTTAGCTTTGACCAAACTAGAGAATGCAAGACCATTCCCTTGAAACTCTATCCTACTTGAGAAGGAGCAGGAAAATGACTCATTTCCAATCTGCCCCACACCATACAGCTCAGTGCAGGATGAAGTGATTACAATTTTTCTTAGACGTATTTGTGTGTGGGTTTATACACGCACATACCATGGCATGTATGTGGAGGCCACAGCACAATTTGCAGGGCTTCTCCCACCATGGGGGATCTCTGGAGTGGAACCATGTGACAAGAGTCTTTACCCTCTGAGACACCTTGTCAGCTCCGAAGTTCTTTTAATCTGTCTGTCTATCTGTGTATCTATGTATTTATCTGTGTATGTATGTATGTATGTATGTATGTATGTATGTATGTATCTATCCATCTATCCACCTATCTATCTCCACATATGCTCGCATACATAAACCCCAGAGCTTAGAAGGCTGACTGTAGGTTGATACATGGATCTTATCTTTTATTTATTTATTTATTTGGAGGAAACTAAAAGATTTTGGGCACACTATAGCAGTTACAAAGTAGTTCCACTGCGGCCACTCTGTTAGGGCTTGTGAGAAGCCTTGGTATTTGCTGGCTTTCTTCTGACTTCTGCACTGGGGAGTCGCTGCCTCTCAGTAGCGTTTTATTAGCCACAGTAGCCAAGGATCCCCTGCTCCTTTAATGGGTGTCCATGACGCTTGGCTTGAAGAATTCAAGGGGCACCGTGTTCTTTCAAAATGGAAAAAAAAACCCAACCAACTTTAAACAACAAAATCCTAAGTGGCAAAAACTGTCTCATGTCTAGATTTAATGTTCATCTAAATTTACTGTTCATACAACAAGACTTAACCAGCCCCAAGAATTTTGAGTAAGCTGTCTGCCAGTTGATATCGAGAAATACGCTGTGCCCTTCCAGCACGACTGACTGACTAATGCCACTAAATAATGCGCTATCACCATCCGCGGAGTCTACAGCCAGCACGGTGGAGCCCAGAGATTAAGGCCTGCATTTTTAAAAATTGTATAATTTTTAAGGTATTTAGATTCGTGAGAGGAGAGTGTCTGTCAGAAGAGCGCGACCTTTGAGTGTAGACAGAGTTGTAAGCTGGAGATGAGGGTTTCAGATCCTGTCAGTGTGTCTGGCTGTGTGATACTGCTAAGACCTTGGCCCTTCTCACCCTCAGTGGCACATACCCAAACCACTTTCTCCACATCATAGGAGCTTTAAGTGGGGATGAAGTCACTGAGCAACAAGCATCCTGAAGGCACATTATAGATGATGTACAGATATCAGCCTTCTGTGACATCAGAATAGCACTTGAGTCCTCCAATCAGATCGTAAACAGAGTTTCCAGTCTGGGGGTGAGTGACTTTCCTACTTCTGAACAGCATTCACTGAAACCTAAAGACCGGACATCAATTAGAGACAGTCAGGGTTGGTCGTGCATGCTTAGAAACTCCCAGCACTCAGAATATGGGGCAGGGGATTTCACGATTTCAAATCCAGCCTGGTCTACACAGGAAGACCCTGTCTTAAAAGCAGAAAAGACTTCATCTAAAGGATAAGGCATTATCATCCAGATGGAACAAAAGATGCATTTCTTAGTAGTATTTGGTCCAGGATACACAAAAATTCTTTTTCTGTGATTTTCTTCCTCTATGTAAAAGCTACCAAAGCCCAAAGCTCTGGAGTCCCCCTTGAGTTTTCTCTCATTGTCCACATCTGACCCGCCAGTGACCCTATTATCACCAGTTTCCAATACACCCTGAACCTGCCCACAGGCCACCGCCTCCTCCACCTCTCTTCTTGATAAAGTTTCTCTGTTTCAACATGTCGAGATGTCAGCCTTCTGCTCAGAACACTCTGATGCTTGTCTGTGACTTTTGGGACCTCATCTAACCCTCCTCCTTGCTCTGGGACCTACTCCTTGCTCTTTGGGGGTAGACCACTCTCAGGGCCCCGTCTTTCCTCCTTCCTTGATAAGTGGGTTTACAACTAGTGGCTTGGACTATCATCACCTGTTCAGACACCCAGCACCTTACGACTGACTGTGTTATCTGTTTTTTGTGACCACTTATTTTGTTTGGTCCTACTCTGAAGCTGTCAGTCTGGCTGTCTCGGCAGTGACATCTTAGCTCACCTACTCACTGGGACCAGTCCGCCCAGGCATAAATACTAGGACTATAAAGCTGAATCAGCTCCAAAGTATCTCCAACCCCTAGGTGTTTCTCACCAGCACTTTCGTCCTCTCTCATACTCGGTAACCATTCAGTAGAAGTGAACAAACCCACAGCAACTCCATTTTCCTCCCAGACATCCCTACCCCTCTGTACTGTTAGTGGCTAAGACAAAGATCACAAGTTAGTAGATCGCCCTGGTTGACTGAGCCGTGACTACAGAGTCGTCCTGCTTCATGGGTGATTTCAGTGAGATGGGACAGTTTTCTCACTGCTTCCAACACACCTGTGTGCCAAGAATATTCCCGTGTCTGTGGGCATCCTGGGAAAACACATTTTCAACAGGGATGACTGTGATCGGCTATCTGACCTGTGCCTCTGGAAAGCGGCCACCACAGGGCAATGACTACAGGTACTCCTTGAGAGCGACACTGGTGCCTGTAGAGACAGCCAGGCTCCTGTAAGATGGAGATGGTTTGGGATCGAGAGCATGCGCGATCAACCGCATTCACTCTCCTAGGCCACCTTCTACACGGGGACCAGGATGCCTGAAACATTAGGGCCAGTGACTTTTATTTACCGCATGCTGGGATGTCACACAGGTCAGACTTGAAGTTTTCATCCAGGGTAAAGCACCAGGGGGCTTCCTTCTGGTTGCCAGGGTTGCGGCAGTAGGAGTGGCCTCCGTTGAGCTCTGGAAAGCGCAGGGCGGTGAAGCTGTGGGTGTGGGGGTACTGAGAATTCCACGGCTGGCACTGGCGTCCTGACTTGGTCACACTGACGGTCCCCCGGTAGTCGACACCTGTGCTGTTGTAGCACTTGTGATCTGGAAAACATGAAAGACAATCACAGGAAGAGTCATAGGGGTCCTGTCCTTCTTGACAGCTGTGTGGGTGTAGGAAAGGAAGGGCAGCCTAAGACCTTGCTACCATGCGGAGGCAGGTCTCTCTGCCAGTGGGGAGGGGTGGGCCTTTCTTCCTGTTAGCTGGGCTTGTACTCACATTCCTGGGAGGATTTAAAGCTTATGCTTCTGGAATAAAATGAGCTTCTTCAGTGTTTTTAATGGGGGAATACCAAAGAAATGGGAGTGGGAAGGGACCTGGGCACAGGAGGAATCTCTTATGGTTCACAAGTGAGTGGCTCAAAGATTCAAGGCAACCATTTTCTTCCATTCCAACTGGCCACCTTAGAAACTGCGTGATGAAAGAACCTAGGAAACTCACAGGACGGGTCTACTGGAGGCAGTGTGGTCTGTGTTTCAAGGAGATGGGCTCCAAAGTTACACAGAGAAACCCTCTCTTGAAAAACCAAAATAATAATAATAATAATAATATTTTAAATTTAATGTGCATGTGTTTTGGCTGCATACATATGTGTGCACAACATTTATGCCTAGTGCCTATGGAGCCAGAAGAGGGCATTGGATCCCTCAGAACTGGAGTTAAGAATAATTATGAGCTGCCATCCAGGTGCTGGGAACTGAACCCAAGTCTTCTGCAAGAGCAGCAAATGTTCTTAATTGCTGATAATCTCTGGCCTGTATTGTGAATACACTTCTGTGAATTTCCATTTGAAGACCTGTTTGTAATTCTTCCTATTATGTCCTCAGGAATGGAATTGCTGGGTCATGTGGTAAATTCTGTGTTTAAGTTCTTGAGAAACCAGATCCTGTATTTTTCAGTTGTCTTCATGAAACCTCTCCAAGGCAATTCTGTCTAAGCTACCACAGAATGCTCAGGCGTGGTATTCAGCTCACTGGAAGGTTAGTGGGCACAGTCCCTGTATGAAGAGTTACCGCGTGTCAGCGTCAGAACCACCACTTACTTTTGTTGATAGGATCCGCCATGGGGATGCCGATCCGTATGCAGTTCGCAGCTTCCGGGCTCTCCGGCTGGGGGAGATCCTCACAGTTTGGCAACTTCAGCCTCATCAGAATCATGGGGTTTGATCTGGCAAAAATGTACTCTGTCTGACACAGGACATTTTCCAGGACTTCACATTCATCACGACACAAGTCGCGGGGCTTCGGAACAGATGAGGTTTCGTCACAGTACGGGAAGGCGTAGTGGCACAGGGAAGGGATGGCGAACTGAGAACACTTATCAGATAAATGGCTGGAGGTGCCAATCATGGTGAAGGCAGCTGAAAAGCAAACAGAGCTATTAACTCCCAGGGGCCAAGGTTTATCTCTGTTGTGATCCAGTCAACAGAGACAGAGAGAAACACAGCGCGGGGAATCCGCCGGGCGAAGCCCACAAGGCCAAGGCGAGCAGATTTATTTCAGATGTCTAAGCAGCTCACTTTCACTGGCTTGAAAAAATCATTTTGACTACAAAGTTAGAAAAACAGGATTAAATTACATATGTACCATTTCTTAATAAAAAGAATTAATTGGGTTAACGTACAATATATTTTCCTTTCTTTCCCCCTACGAAGCAATAGGACTTTGTGTTTCTCCCCATCCTTTGTATTAATTTTGCGAGGCTCTAAGACATCGCAGAGCCCCAGCTCAGAGCTCGTTTCAGGCAGGGCTTGCGCTGCTGAGCGTGGGACGGAGCTGCCAGATGGCAGGGGTTGCTGGGTGGCTTTGGACCGCTGGCTTCATTTCATTGTGCCTTGAATACTTTCTATTCCATCCTTGGAAAATGAGGCAATGCCCCGGAAGACCACAATTCAATTGTCCCAGAATGCACCACAGGCTCTCAGAGGTCTGGTAGCCTAACGTCACACACATGGCATCTATACCAAGAGGGCACCAGCCCTGAAGGCTGCCCATGAGGCTGTTTACACAGGTTCCCAAAGATCATTTCTAGGGACGTTAAGCTGATAGCATATTAATGGCTTCTGAGAAGCAAGGGTGACAGAGGCCAAACGAGTCTGGGAAGTGTTGGGTCAAACAAAATAAAATGACCTTTCTTTCAAAAACAAAATGAAACTATAATATTTTCCAGCAAGCCAGCACTCACGGAACGCATCCAAAAGAGAGCGCTATTGTACACTAACTACAAAATATTTATAGCAGAACAGAATTTATTTAATGTGTATTCTTATTTGAAAGTTTGTTCAAATGCTTTTGTACTGGGTGGAAACACTGAGTTCAGCATCTCCTTCCTGTAAGGCCTATGTCTGCTCAAGCCTGAGGGCTTCAACAAAAGGCAACATCACCTTCCTGCCCTTGACTCTGGTTCAACAACCCCCCTCAGCTGCTTCTCAGTTCTGTCAAGTTGCTTAGAGAACAGAATTTCTAGCCCTTTTCCTTTCCTGTGTTATGGATTTATCCATGTCTCTCTTAAGTCCTCAAGTTAAGACAACAACTACATATGCCCTTCAGAGGAACTTGCAGGATACAGTTATACTAAAATCAACTGGCCATCCATCTTGAAATGCAGATGCTACTGGGTACCCATATCCCCATTTGCTAAATTTGGCCGCTTTTGCGAGAATGTCACGGAGGTCATTTTATCAGACTGCAAAGGATACGGCCACTGCCCTCCTGAAAGGGGCACGAAATGGCTGTGGTCACCATAACTGGGTACAAAATGGTGCCTGGTGGCCTGAGCCTCCCTGCCCTGTGTATTAGGAAGTGCTTCACTGTGGGATTCATGGAGAGCAGCCGTTTCCCAGATTCTCTGTAACAACAGCTCTGGGATGGAAGTTCTCGCCCAAGGTCATTCCTTCTTAGCCTCCGTTACACCACTTCCAAACGCAAGCTTGGTGAAGGCAAAGCCATACCTGGCTCAGTCACTCTCACATCCCCAGTGTCCAGCCTGGTCCCAGCACACTGAAAGCCCTCAGCAATATTTATTGAGTGTTTGCATGAATGTGAGACTTCTCGAAGCTTCCTTTTCCTCCAAGACTAACCTCTAATAAATTATTTTAATGTAAATTCCAGAGCACAGAGATCACTTCTCATGCCTCTTTATGGTCCCACTCCCAACCCCCCATGCTTAGCCTAATCCTCTGTCAGGAAAGAAGCCCAGAAAAACTTCTGGCGAGAGACGCAGTTATGTATCGTTTCTTTGATGTCACCTACCTGTGATCTGATTTTCTATTTCCCCCTGCATATGCAAAGACTCCATATACACAGTGCGGTTGCCAATAAAGCGTGCACACGCAATGCCTCGGTATGGCTGACAGAATCCATCTTCTTCATACTCGTCTCTGAAAACAAAAACAAAGCACAGTGATTCTTAACACAGAACTACCTAGACACACCATCCATTCTGGTTGTGCAAAATGCCCTAAATGGTCACAAGGGGGCGCAGTTGGGCACTATATAATGAAGGCTACACTTAATTTTTTTTTTTTTTTAAATTCAGCTCTCAAAACATCCTTAAAACATCTGTTGGTCATGTTGGTCAAGTTTCCTACACCCCCAGAAAATCATCCTGAAGCGCAAAATCATCCTTAAATATGGGAAAGAACTTTTATTTTTGCAGCTGGTGGTGGGCTGGAAGATGATGTAGCCCTGAGAGGGAAGAGGAAGCGAGCTGGAAATCTGGGCACATGCTCTACAGAGTTTTGTTTTCTAAGTGCGGATCATTTCTGCTCCATTTGCTACAAAGGCGTGGGCGCATTAGCCCCAAGATTCACGCCAACTGACAAGTCAATTAGGAGATCCACAGGGTAGGAATCTGGTGCAGCTGGGAGGAAGGGGGACAGCTGAGTCTCAGGGCTCCTCACTGGGTAAGACCTGTCCTGTCTACCTGGAAAAAAAGCTGGAGCAAGCTGCAGACCGAAGGATTTGAGATGAGCTACTAACATCCAAGGAACTTGTACCTCTGCGATCCTTCAAACTTGAAAGAGAGCTGCAAGAGTTTGGACTGTTTTCAAATGGTAATAATACACGAACAAGGAATTAGGTTCCATCTTGAAGACAGGACAGCAGACAGTGACGAGGAGCTATAGGGTTGCAAGTGAAGAAACAGGAGACCAGGATTGGATAGGCCCCCTCCTCCCCACAAAAGTCCTCAGTGGCCGTGCACACAGAGGGTGGAACCAGAGCCCGGGACAACAGATCTGGGTACACTCAAGACTGCCGGCTACATTCGGGGGTTCACCTTGACACCAGCTCCTCCTCTGGCTGGGGTCAACACCATCTGCACACACAACCCTTTGCTTTCTGTGGCTTCTTCTAAGTTAGAAGACACGGTACCAAAACACTCTTCCTGTGTTCTTTCAGCAGGCTGTCCCAGCCCTGCGCATCATAGGATCCTGCCTTTAAAATAGAGGTAGCAATCATTGCCCTACAGATGAAAGCCCTATGAGCCCATTGACTCATAGAAAAGCTTATTTGTGTGTTAATTTGGCAGAGTGGGAGATCAAACTAGGGTCTCATACATGCTAAACATGCTAAGTACATACTTACCATTGAGCTTTGTCCCCAGACAGGCTTATTTTGTTTTTGAGACCAGTCTTACTATGGTGTCCAGTCCAGCCTGACTTTGAACTTGTATTGTACTAGTTCTGCCTCAGTTTTTTAAGAGACTGAGAGCTACAAGAATGTACTGCCATGACTGACTGCTATTCAAGTCCCTTGAGATGGTACATTATTGTCAGTAAAGTATTTACAGTGGTTCCAAGGGGATGCTCATTCAGAAAGGAGACATTTACTAAGTGCCTTTTTTTTTTCTTTTACTATGGCTGTGTGTAGAGATACAGGGCTGGGCTTCCCCACCTAGAGGTTTCATACTCCTAGGAGACTAGAAGGCTCAGGACAGCTGCCAAATGAGCAAAAAGCCAGGGGATGGGACACACCTTTTCTGCAGCTTCCTCCATTAATCCTCTAAGTGGCTCGGTTTGAAGGTGAAGATGGGCAAAGCATCTTTGCCGTCATCCCGAAATAGTTTGTGTGGCAAAGCCTAGAAAACCTAACCTCCAAATACACGATAAACAAGCACATCTACCTGAGAGAGAAACCTCGAGAGTTCAGGGCTGCACGGTCCCTCACGTACCCCACGCATTCACTTTCATAAATCCTACTGTAATGGTGACACCTTTTTGGCTTGCATCTTACCTGAGCTGTAAAATTAACCCCACTTTTATTGGGTAACTAATACCGTAAACCTATGGGGAGAAAGACGGCTCTGGATGACCTCAAGCTGGTTTCTGGAAACCTAAGTGCAGAGACCAGCGTCCACCCCACTCCCACAGCCCCTGCTAACCCGGGCCTGGCTTTTCTGTCCTTCCACATCGATGGAGCCTGGATGCCTAAAGCGTTGCCATGAGAACAGTTTCCCTCCCTACGGGAAATTCTCAAGGCCCACATTTATATCTCTTGGGAGGACAAAATCTTGGAAATATCCCCAGATATAAATCCTTAACCCACTGGGAGTTCCAGGAGTTTATGAGTGAGGCTTAGGCTAAACTTCTTACCACCTTCCTAGTTCAAGACTGCTAAAAAGACCGACTGTCTCTTCTTTTGCAAACTAAAGAGAGACACAGCTCCTTGGCTGCCCGTGTCTTAACAACCGCTCACTTTTACGGGTGGACTGGAATTGCTGATTCTGCCCACAACTTCTGTGATTTTGACCAGTCTCCGTGGGACAGAGGTTTTTAAAAATCCTAAACCAAAAGACCCAAATGAGTGTGGAATGCATCTGAGCCACTTTTGAGCCTTGGCTGTGTGCAGGATGCTCAGCCAGGAAAGGCACTTGCTCTCTCCCCCCTCCCCTCCTCCCCCACCCCCCGAGTTGGACCATCTAAGCTCCACCCTTGGAACCTCCCTGTCCTACCATGAAGGTAGAAAGTTGATTAGACACAGTCATCATCCAGCAACAGGAATGTGGTGGCATGTGTTCCCATGCACACCACACACACACAACAACAAAACAGGGTTTTAAAACAAGCATCTCTTCGGGAACTTTGCAAAGAACAGTGCTCGGCCCTGATCTGTGAGGTCGGACTGTCTGGGGCTGAACCTCCAAGCAGTACCTGCCCAGCTCCTCTCGTCCTCTGTGGAGGGAACATTCCAGCTCAGAAAAGCTAAGTATCTCACGGGGATGTGCAAAGACAGTCAGGGGTGCAGCCAGGATTGAGACGGGACTTTCATGTCCAGGTCACTTTACTCTGTGGTCAGGTGTGCCCCAGTTCCGTGTCTTGGGACTGCTGTGAATTCAATCTATTCACAGATCAGAATTTATAGCCAGTTTTTATTTTGTACAAGGCACTGCTGATTTTATATGCTTATAAAATGGTATCAAGTCATTTAGTAGAGCACAGGCCTATGAGGACCTAGGGGTGTGAAGGCTCCCATTTTGGAAAAGCGGGAAGGCATGAGGAAGGGCAGCTATGGGCAGCCATTTCCACGCTTGTCTGAACTGTGCGCCTCCCCTTTACAGTGTGAGTGGCAGTGGTGGGTGGGGCCAGTCAAGTCCCAGATGCTCTTTTCCTTTGCATTTAGTAGTCGGCTATCTCCCAGCATGCACTTCTCCTGCTTTTGTTTCCTGTCCCCCACTTAAAAAAGGGATGCACCAAGGTTGTGCAGTTGGGGCGCTGTCACGAAGCCATGCCGTGATCCATCACGAAGCAGAGGACATTGGGAAAGGGCACCAGGAACCCACTGCTGCCACCTGGAATGCTGCTTGGATGCCGGATGATGGGTGTCCCGTGCCTCTCAAAGGTCCTTCAGTTGCTGGGTCGCCAGCTTTGGCCACCATCCCGATTCCTATGTGGGATCCAGCAGAGCCATTCTCCAGTGTAAGGTTGGAAGGACATTGAAGCAGCGCAGCAAGGGGAGAGAGAGGGCAGTGGGTGGATTGCCTCTGCAGGATGCTCCCGAGGCAAGGGAAGGCAGGCTGCTGAGATACAGATGATGCTATCCAGTCCCGGCTAGACTGCCCGCCTCCTTCCTGCTCTGCCGGCTGCACTTCCTGCACAAACTTTACTCTTACAAGTCTCCAGTCATGCCAGCTGGTTTGTTTTGGGGGTTTGGATCCTCTCTAAGGCCTGAGATGCCCTTTTGATTCACCCCCTTCTCACCATTTCCATCCAGACACATCCTCAGAACTCTCCTGGGAAAGTCAGGCATCTGCCACCTTCTACTGGCACCTTGATCAACCCATCCCCGTGAGTTCTGATTTTATAACCACCACCTGCACAGTGCTCACCCTACCGCGCCCCAGCCACAGGACTGCAGCAGACTGCCCATCCTGGGAACTCTCTTTGAATTGTATATGATTTCTTCTTCATCATAATACAGGGGCAAGGAAAGGGTGCATCTACCAGGCAGCTGCTGAATGGATTCTGGCTGTTGAATTTCATTCTAAAAGTTGCTTTATGGGGGAAGCTGGAACAGCTTTCCTCAGTGAGAAGAAAATGAACACAGAGGGACTTTGCTATCTCTAGAGCAGAACCCAAGAGATTGAGAATACCCAAAGCCTTGCCCATACCATTCACAGGAGCCAAGTGTGGGAACATCTCAGTGTTCATGAGAAGGCAAGTGAACCGACAAAATGTTTTGATACCTAGGGTGGAATAGTATTTAGCTATATAAAGGAAACCTGCTATACTGTCATAGAGTTCATATTATACGATTTATAGGGAACATTGGGAATAGACATTTCTACAGGGACAGAAAATACATTGGTAGTTTCCAGGGGCTGAGGGACTATGGAATTCCTTACCTAATGATGTCAAAGTCACACAACATTGTACGAAATTGCTCACTAAAAAATGGTTAAGTTTATGTTGTGCAAAGTTCACTGAAATTAAAAAGACAATCTCATGTGTATTAAGGTGGAACATTGCATGGGAGAAGGTGGTGGCTGGGATTTCAAAGGTCAAGTCAGAGAAGGCTTGACTGTGGACCTTTGCCAGGTTAATCTGACTGAGATCCTGAGTGCAGAACACAGCCAGATGCGAGGAATAAGATCTCGTGTCCTCTTGCACAGTGGGTTGGCTCCAGCTGAGTGGCTTGTTTTAGAATTCAGCATAGCAAGAAAAAAAGCAGCTTTGAACGTTCCCAACACAACAATGAAAATGATAAATGAGACCCAAGGTCTGGTCTGATTGATCACTGTACACCATCTACATGTATTAAAACAACACGGAACACCCCATAAATATGCATAATTATGTGTCAATTAAAATCTTTTTAGGAAAAAGGAAACATGATCCAACTAAGAGTCCAAGTGAGGGGTGCCAAACCATTCCAGGGTAAA